GATTAGCACCTCTTATACCAATCTGATTTTAGTTCTGATAATTTAAATAAGCATGAGGCCATTAACTTGAAGCTGTGTATATATATATTTCAAACTGAGGATCCTCCTGTCTCAGCCTTCTTTGAGGCTAGGATTACAGGCATGCACCACTACTCCCGGCTCCATATTTTGAGTTCTTACATAATTAACTTCAACAATAAATAAAGAAACTAAAACCTAACTTAGAAGTATAACAAATAGCAGGACTTCAGATGATCACAAGCACTCGACTCGTCCCCCCATGCACAGATAAGGCAGAAACATTATTGTAGCCAATCAGATGATTTCTTCATTTCTATGTTTGGCCTATTAAAGGTCTCTGCTCATGTTGCTGTGGGGCTCTCTAAATCTGTTCTGATTCTGAGTGTTGCCTGATTCATGAAATATTCTTTGCTAAAATAAACAGTCAATTTTAATGTGTCTAAAGTTTGTCTTTTAATAGTTATAGAGTTACATTACATTAGAAAAATAGGTCTCTTAGCAGTTATATATTACAAAGTAAATAATTCATCATTTGTCTGTGAGCTGATTAAGGGAAGAGATGATGTGTTTTTCACCATTGAATCCCAAACATCCAGGGTAATGCCTGGTATGTAAAAGCTCCACGAATATATTATCTTCAATGAGAAGAGATATTTTATATTCACATAATGCTTCAGAATGCATTTCCTATCTCAAATCTGCCAATACATTTTAATTGGCTGGTTTATCTCAGGCTCTATTTTTCAAATGCAAAATAACAATAATTAAGACCATCTTTGTAAAAGAAAAATGAAAATATGCCGTATATTTTAAGAAAACAGCCAAGAACACTATTCTCCTTGACCTAGGAATATCAAAAGTTGAATAATTTGTTCTTTCAAAGTAGAAAAATCAATTGAACATCAACAATTACTTTTTTTAAAAAAGAAAAAGAGATATATTAGATTAGCAGGAGCCCACAGTAATGTTATCTATTTTTCAATGAACTTCAAATTTCAGTTTTATTCCCACATCTTCCCATTTCTTCTTTGTGCATGGTCTAAAAAAATCTATTAACTCTAAACATAAGGGAAAGTCTTAGGCACTGTGCAAAGTAAGCTAAAGTGTATCCTAAGGAAAACTTACAACTTCTTTGTTTTCTTTTGGATGAACCTTTTAAAAGTAAATGACATAGGTAATTAATTTGTTCCTGGGTATTGGTTATCAACTCAAAGACCTAAGAATTTGCGTGTTCCCATTGAAACTCAGAGAATATGGATAAAATAACTCATTTATTTTGCTGACTTGCCTGTATTTTTCTGAATGATAATTAGGAATTAAACTGTCACAAATGTAAGCCTAGTTTCACATGCTGACTTGCATTGAGCTAGCTCATGTACTAATCAGAGGCTGAAACTGTTGTTTCAATATGTGCACATTTCTGAGATACACTCTGGGAAATTTTCCAATGCCCTGAAAAGGTACACATCATCCCATACAGCAGCTTAAAGTTCAGGCATATCTTCAATATTTTTTGTTGATGTTTTAGCTTTGTAAAAAGTTGTCCAGGTATAGTACTTTGCATTCGGCTGGTGGTTGATAAATCTTGGTTGAATGAATTGGTATATTCTTATACTATGTCATTTAGTACATAAGATTCCAAAATATTTTTATCTTATTTCTATGATTGGAAATAAGACATCGACTCATAGAAAATGAGTTGGGTTCCTCAGCATTACTAGAGTTAGATAAGGGCTTGTCTAGCTGAGTTCTTCTCTACCTGAGATTCTATGAGTTATTAAAAAATACAGTGAGAAAGGCAAGGGATGGTATAGCAAATGGAGCAAGAATTCTTGAATGTTCCCCTAAATGGTTGGCTGCATTTCAAGACATTGAAAGAGAATATTTTCTTTCAAGATATTGGAGAGGTTATTTTCCATTGGAGAGAAAATAAATAATCTGTGAAACAAATTGCCCAGTCTTTTTAGTTATCTAATGGACCTATAATGTGGACATTGACCATTAAAATAATTTAAGTTGGAGTGCAACATGAAGTGAGTTCTGGTTATTATCTGTTTCCATGTATAGATCATTTGTTCATGGGATAGTTTTATGTAGGCTGAGAGCTGGGGAAAGCACAGCTTGAGCTATGACCTGTTCCTGAAACAAGCATCAGTTTGCTTGCCTGCAGGTATTATTTCCATGTTTACTTATTAACTCAATAATTTGGAGCTCCTGGTGTGCCAAACTTAAGACTGTGTTGAGTATTAGGGATACAGAATGCCCAAACCAGATAAAATTCCACTCACTGAGCTAGCTAGAATGGCAGGCAGGCATTTAGTTTGAAAAACACATAAATGTACAATTATAAATTGTTTGAATCTTAGAGCATGAGGGAGAGAGAGAGTTCAGAGAGAAAGGGGTGGGGGGAGGGAGGGAGAGAGAGAGAATAACAGAGGACCTGATTTTTCTCTTTTAGGTAGCTAATCTGAGGAAGTACAATTCAAGCTTGGATCTAAGATGACCAGAAGTTAATTAGGCAAAGTCTAAGGAGAGTTTTTCAGTTTGAGGGAGAGGCATGTGTGAAGCACTTGAGAGAGGAAGAGATTTAGCACATTTTGTGAATAAATAGAAGGCTGATGTGAACACTGCGGTCAGCAAAGAGGAGTGAAATGAGATGTTCAAGAGGCAGGCGGGTGCTAGATCATGCAGGGCCTGGGTGCTCTGTTAATAATTTTGCATTTTATCCCAAATGCAAAAGGAGAGAGATTTGATCTGTAATCGTAACAAATCACTTTGGATTCATTCTGAATAAGCCAGCTGTACAAAGGGTAAGACCAATTAGAAGGCTATTGTAGGTGGCAGATGATAGGTGTTTGGTTTAAAGTGGTGGAAGCAAAAGTAGAGGGTAGTGAATAGATTTGAGATGCATTTTGGAGGTAGAATCAATAGGACTTGAAGACAAATTGATGATGGATACAAGGGCAAATAAGGTATGGAGAATGACTCAAGTTTTTGGCTTGAGCAAAGGGTAGATGCATTGTGTCATTTACTGAGTTGGAAAACTCTATAAGAGGAACTAAGAGGGGTGAAATCAAGATTTTTGGTATCAGTGTACTAGTCACATGGGCACTGAAATGGGTTTGTGTGTGACTTTTTATAGATGATAAAATAAATAATATGATAATATAAAAAATAAAGAACTAACGAAAACAATTAAAATAGAAAATTGAATTCCCAAAGGGTGGGGGGCAGTGGTTCTAGGTTGGGGACTGATATATATCAGAATTGCTGGGATCTTATAATTTAAAAAAGGCATACTAAACATTATACTGCATTTTTTTTAAATTTGAAAAATAAGAAAGAAAGGAAAAAAAAGAAAGAAAAAAATCAAAATATATCCAGGAGGTAGACCCTATAGCTGCTATTTGTTGAATTTTTAAGGAGGGATGCTTCAAAATCCCCAGTGGGATGCAAAGAAACCACTGTAACTTTCATGTTCATTTAAAAAAAAAAAAAAAAAAAAAAGCATGGGTTTAAAAAAAAAATCACTGACACTGCACCCGAGAAATAAGACAAAGGTAGAAAAGAGAAATGGATGGAAAATCCTTTCAGTGAGCAAAAATGTCTCTGCCATCATGCCGGTGCCAATGCAGGGCTAAGTTCTGTTGGGGCAGTTGTCACCAGGGTCTGACTCTCAGCTCTGTCATTTGCTAGTGGAAGATCTTGGAAAATCAGGTAACTTCTCAAGTCTCAATTTTCTTGTGTTTGTGAAATGAAGATAATGATAACATTTACCACGTAAGGTGACTGTGAAGATTGAAAAAATAATAATTTGTAAGAAGTGCTTTAACAAATAGCTGGTGCAGAGGAAGAGCTCAACAAATGTTAAGTCAAAAGTCCTGACTGCAGTGTGACACCCTTTCATTTCCCTCTGGTTGTGTTGATTTAATTAACATTCATAAAGTGTTCCGAATTACCAGTAAGCTTTAATTGATTCAAATCAGTGAAAATGCTCCAACTAATTAGTCAAAGTTATGTTTTTAAGTTTATTTCTAGAAATATTAGATATAAAATATGCTATATAATTCCCCTAGGGAGATCAATAATTGATGACTAAACTAATTTAAAAATATGTATATAAATATGAGGTTCTAAAAAGACTCTCTTGTTATATCCATTCTACAACCTGTATTTTCTCCAGTCCTAGCAATTATTATGAAGATATTATATACGAAAACACAACTATATAAGCACCCCATTATGTGTAAGAATATTAAAATTGGGATCTCAATTTAGATAGAATTGGAACTACATTATGGAATATTGGATTCTGTTTTGCTTACTGTCCTTTCTGACTTTGGCTACTCTGAAGATAGTTTGTTGTTGTTGTTGTTGTTTTTTAATCATACACAGGTTCTAGAATATTAATGTAGAATTTATGCAGTCTTTAGATTTAGAACAAGTTCTTTATAAAGTTAGGCAGAATCAATTAATTCTGTACTTTGGGATATGTTGCTTAATATCTCAAGAGTCAGTTAAATGGTACTAATAATTTAATATTTGAATTAGAATGTTAAATGACAATAATAATATCTATGCCCAAGTTACATCTGGGGCATAGTAAACACTTATTAAAAATTATTAAAAAATATAATTTTCTCTTTCATCCTTCTGTATAAGGGAAATGGTGATAAGTAAATTCCAAAATTAATTGTTCTGGAACAATATAATTAATACCTCATTAAAATGTACAGGAATCAAGAACATGTGGAACATCATGTGATCTTATTTGAATGCTCTGTGATCACACCAAGAAAGAAAAAAAAGGCAATGTTCTTAATTTCTCCCACCACACCACAGAAGCAGAACATCTCTCCACCTTGGGGAAGATGTTGCTGTTGTGTTCAAGGAAAGTGAGCAGAGGTGGGTCCTACCCACTCATCCTTGTGGAAGCACATGCAATTCGAGAAGATGAGGTGAGGAAGCGCATGCAGTACCTGGTCATCTCAGAGTCAGGGAGCAGGCCTAGGTGGTAGTGGGGGTAGGGAGCTGAGAGAAGGAAGCTTTTGTCACACTCAACAGGGGAATAGTGCCTGGGAGAAGCAGGCTTATCACACAGTTTGTTCACAGTGCTGTAAACAGGTTCCGGTGGCCTGGTGATACAAGAGGAAGAAAAAGATATGCACGGTCAGCACACACAAGGAATTACCATGCAACCAGTAACATTTCACCAAATGCAAAAGTTAAAATCCAAACCCATGCCATTTATTCCTTGTGTCTTACTAATAAAAGCCAAATTTTCCATTGGTTACATTTCATATAATAATAAAGATTTTATTCTTAGCCCCCTTTATGGGTAGTTGTAGCCACATTAAAATGTTCAGTCCAATGTTTTGTGGGATTCATTGAATAGCTGCTTATGGAAAGTGATTTAGCTAGGACCTCTGCAATTTTGTTCTCTCCCACTTTCTCCTTCTGTTGACCTGAAACCCAGACATGATGGCTGGTGCTTCATGATCATTTTGGGCCATGAAGCAATCATTAGGATTAAGGAGCACAATACAAATAGGGGAGCATAAAGGAAGAGCCTGCGTCACTGATATGGAGTGATACTATACTGCCTATATATCAATTTCTTTTATGTGGGGTAAAAATAAACCAGATAGTTTAAGCTTGTGTCTTTTTTTTTTTTTGTTATATAGACAGAACCTAACATTAACATATGTACTCTAAAAACTCTTTAGATTGAAAATTTAAAACAAAGAAATAACTGTAGATAGAGCCTATCACAGTACTAATACATTTAATTACATTTGTAGTCCATGAACATACTATACACAGAAAATGTAAAGAATGCTATTTTCTTACTGTGGAATTTAGAGCTTAAAACTGTTCAAAGAATTCACTGCATCCTTATTTTAGAATACTCTTATCCATAAAATAACAGCTGACCTACACTGCCAGTACAGGAGCCTAGAAGAAAGAAATCACAACTTCTTTTATGTCATAAACATTTCTGAAAGGGTAAAGTTTCTAAGCTGCAAAGCCTGAGTTAAAATGTAAAGGACCAGGCATTGTAAAGCTGCTTCTAAACTGCAAAGGCTGGGTTAAAAAGTAAAGGACTAGGTATTGTAAAGTTTCTGAACTACACACAGAACCTGAAACTCCTAAGGCAGTTAAGACAATGCCCTACTGACCATTTAGTTGTTTAATAACTTAGGGCCCTGTGTAGCCCAGCTCGGTAGGCATCCAGGCCCCAAAACCAATCAGTTTGAATGTGTACCCCGCTTAGAAGTGACCAATCACCCCTGCCCAGCCTGTTCCCGCCAATGAATGTACTAATCAAGTCTAAGAATTATTGTTTGATTTTCCAGCAGTGTATGGTGATTTGTTAAAGGAAACTATGATGTGTGTAAAGTCCCCGCCCTCCCCAAAAAGTGTACTTAAACACTGCTCAACCCCTGCCCAGGGCTCTGGGCTGCTCTCCTTTCTTGAGTGGGCATGGAGCCCCAGCATGCTGGATCAATAAATCCCCTTCTGCCAATTGCATGAGTGGTCTCTTGGTGGTCTCTTTCTCTGATGCTTTGCCGGACCCTTACATTTCTATGATGATGTCATTTTAGTAACACCATACTTTGCCTAGAGGGAATGATTCAATTTTCTTAGTCTGATGCTGACTCTATAGACTAAGAAAATGTTATCAATTTTCTTCAACTCCTTTTACCACGATGCCATGTTTAGAAAGGAAATTTCAGAATCAAAACTGACTCATGCATATCTTTAAAAAATTCCTGTATTTATCTGAATTAAGGGGAAAAATTTATTCTTGGAACATAATAATAGATTCAAGACAATTAAAATGAGGTTCTGTGCTTTTTCCAGTATTAAACTCTTGAAACTTTTACCCATACCTTTTTTGCAAGTGTGAATGGATGTACTACTTATTATGTAAGCCATGCATTCAGTACATTTGGTATTTGAGGCAGGCTTCAACACCTTGGGATTTAGAAAAAAGGTATTTCTTTGCTTATAGCTGCTTCTAGAATTCTTTCATAATGGACTGATCACTTTTCTATGCATAATTAGTCATCACTTAAAATCTTATCAATGCAGAGATATAGTTATTGATGTTGCAAGACCATTTTTACCTGTTATTTTGTCTTTAGTTCCTTCCCTACTAATTTACTTGCTATTTTGTAGAGTCACTGGCTACATATTAGACATATCAGACCCAGTTTCTTTTCTTGGTTATGAGAACACATGATACGATGGGAGCTAGGCCAATGAAAAACTACCAAAACACAAAACAAAACACATGCCACACTCGACCAGGTCTTCTTCTAACCAAACCATGAAATTAAACATATCTGTGAGAATATCCTTTCAAGTATCATAAACAAGGGGTCTTTATTTGAAGACTTCCATCTACCAGCTTCTTTATAAGCCTAGAATTCTGTCATATAAGACACAGTAAGTCCTGTGCAAGTTATAGTTTAAACAAAGAAATGACACAGAGTAGGAATTTAATCAATGTTTCTTTGAATGAATGGATAATTTTTTTATTGTTCTCTAGTGAGAGAAACAAAAAAAATTCTTATGGTTCTTTCAAGGAAGCAATATATTATTCTGAATCTCTTCATTAGGTTTAAATTTCTTGGACCATCATTCATTCTGACAACCTACAGGAATGAAATACAACCCCAATATTGTCAGTTTGGAGCTGAAAAGCTCTAAATACTTGATGGTCATAGTTGAACCACCCTCAGGGGGATGGGCTTCATGTGTTTTGAGTCTTGTGGCAATACCTGGTCTGCCCTTGGTTCTAGTAAGGGTCATCCCAGGCACAGTGAACCTCAAAGATGTCTCAGCCCTGAGTTCCAGAAGGCCTAATACTAGCTAATCAGCATCTTTGTCTTTCCCTGCAATTAATTTTTTCCATGACCTCACTGCAGACAAGAAATGTCAATTGCTATCAATGGGATCTGGGTGGCAGAAACAGATGCTATCATCACTTTCCACTGGGTCAGTACAGAAATGGCACAAGGAGGTGGAGGGGAGAAGATTTTCAGCAGTGTGAGTCAGCCACTCACAATTGAAAGGTCTATTTATTCTATTTTAAGCAACCAGAGGCAAAGGTAATAAACAGGGTAAGCCAATACAAGGTGCCCACAGGCTCTTTTTATTCTGTGGATGTCTCCAGAAAGGAGGAAAAGTAGTGAAGATATTAAGTGAAATCTCTAAGTAAATTCATAAACAAATCATTTATCTAGCTGTCTACTTATCAAGGGCCATAGATAAATGATTTTGTAGTCTCATTTGCTGAGCCATCAGCATTTATTTGCATATCTATGGGTTTATAATTGCAGCTCTTATAGCATACAATTAACACACTCTGACCCTTGGTGATTTCTCTTTTCTGTGAACTCCATTAGCACTTGCTATTTGTTCTGCTTTCTTTGCATTTTTAATTGCTAATCTGCAATGCTGGTGTACTGGAGAGAGGATGCTTCATCTCCACCCTACTGTTAAAAAAAAAAAATCTTACCTGTAAATGCCCTTCCCTGCTGCCCCACTTATCCCCAACCCAACTCAGGCCCCTCCTTGGCCAAAGCCATTTAGGCCTTTGGAGCAGGATTGGGCTCCTACTTTGCATTGACCTAATACTGAAGGGCCCACAAGAAAAAGAAAACAAGACTAGGCCAATTGGATTCTTCTTTGGAAAATGAACAATGTGACTAAAGGGGCAGAAAAAGTAGTTACGAGTTGGTAACATAAGAAAAAGATGCGGACACACAGAAGGTCACTGCAAATATGTTCACTAATTACAGAGAACCAGAGCCCTACATTTAAAGCTCTATGGAATTTTGTTTTTAAAATACTCAGTGGTTTCTTGGAATCTAGAATAAGTCTTGGCTCATTCTTTAAGGGGGGCTATTAGGGCTTATGTTATTGAATTTCCCTAATGATTCTGTATAACACTGGTTGTATAATGAAAATTAACTACCATCCTTCCTCCCTAACCCTTAGGTCACAGATATCTTGCTTGTAATTAGGAATGAAAATAAAATAAATACTCCATTTGTTTATTTTACATTCCTTTTAGATCTCCAAAACTAGACTATGCCACTAAAGAAGTTGACAAAACCTTGGACCTATGTAATCCCATGGTACCTGAGAGTAGTACAAGACTGATTTTGATATTTTGTTCATTTTGATTATTTTGCATTAATTTTATTAAAAAAATGACTAATTATTGAGGTTTTGGGGTCCCCTTTAAATTTTGCACCTAACTTAAGTGCTTCATATCTGGTCCCAAACACAATAAAGTGTAAGACAGTGATACTGATGACTGTGATTGCAAATACTCTTCATCTGTGTAGCACCTGAAGGTACAAGATCAAAGGAATATGACTCCTTTCTCTTAGAGGCAAGAGTAAGATTGACTCTCACTTTATTGAGTTTTCTAACTTCTCAGAAAAACCCTCAGAGCAGGGAACTGACCTTATCGTACTGTCATATCCTGTTCGCTGAGTTTTCTTTCTCCCTTTAGAGTATTAACTCCTAGAGGAGCAGGACCCAATCTCATTTGATCTTGGTTTCCCATTGCTTCCCTGAATGCCAGAATGCAGGAAAACAAAACACTGTCATATAAAATGAGAAGAACTGAACCAAAAAAAAAAAGTGACCAGTACTATTTATTGTCTCTTCCTGAGCTAGAACTAAAAGGAAGAGTTGGACATTCGAATAGAAAAGATTAGGGTTATATATTTGTAGGCCTTTAAGCATAAATATCTGTTCATCAGACTGATGTGGGTAAATCTGTAGAGCATTCAGATTCTCTAGATCTCCAATGGGAAGGAACTTACAACACTATGCTGTTGCTAAAAGCTCGGCCCTTGTCTGGATGCCAATCCGATAGCATAGCAAGGACATGGTTTTGAGAAAAAGGAAAAAGAAGCTTTATTGCTTTGCTAGCAAAGGAGAAAGTATTCCTGTCCCAAAGGCTGTGATTCTGCCCATCAGTAGAAACAGGGGGCTTTTATAGAGGTGATTCAAAGGCTACATTCCATCTGTTGGAGTTGTTAATTCACTTGTTAATTTGGGAGAAATCATTTCTGAGATCTTCAGGTACCATCCCCAAAGTCTGGATTAC